TGGAAAGAACCTCAAAAAGCATTTAATTCAGCCTCTAATATTGCAGATGAAGATATTTAGGCTCAGAGAAGGTAAATGACATGCCTGGGATAGATGGACCTAAGAAAAGATGCAATTTAAGATAGTTGTAAAGAAAAACTCAGCTATAATTAGCATTATCAGGAGGCAGAATCAAATAGCAGAGTAGCAGAAAGAAATATAGCCTACCCCTCCCCTACAACACATCACCTTCCACCTTCTGCAATCTAACAAATGTACCAGATCAAATTCTGATTGAGAAATACAAGAAAAAATCATAGCCAGTTATATCCAGCCCAGGTCAATATGACAGGCATTAAGATATGCAGACATTGGGGAATGGGGTCTGGCCAGGAACACAGGGCCATACACAATATTTCAGTGCTTAGGGACTGAAAGGGAGTTGAGATTGGGTACTGGGGCAGGAAGTATCAGAGCAGGGGATCACGGAACTAACACAAGGTATAGTAGTGGGTACAATCTAGCAACTCTGTCATCCAGTTCCAGGTCATAGATCCAGGATAGACTGAGGAAGAAGTTGGACCTAGAGGTCATGGAGAAAACAATAAGGGTCTCAGATCTTTGCTGCGCACTGAGCAAGAAACAACATCAGAATCAAACAATAACTGTACAGCTCTGAATCCAGAAGCAGAGACCAGGTTGAAGCCTGGAATAACCAGAGAGGAAAAATAACCAGAGCAAGAATGCCAGACCAAGGAGGAATATGTAGTTCAGTCACTCTGAACCTGCAAAGCCTCCCAAGCAGACTAACAGTAGCTGAGCCCAGTACCAATCTGCTGAAACTTCTAACCAGGGACAAGACAATAGAGACACTGCTCAGAACCAAAGGTGGATCAAGGGCTTTCAGGCTAAAACTAGGAGAGCAGGGAGCAGAGTCTGCTCCCTGTCACATCACTTTGGGAGCAACGAAAACTTACAGGTACCCATCCTGAACTGTCCTTGAGATCTTGGGAAAAATACAATACTCAATACATCAATACTCAATACACCAAGAAAGAAGCAGAAAGATCCAAGAGGACTGAAATTCAGCCAAGACATTTGCCCCTCCAAAATGTATAGTGCCCAGATTTCACATAAAATCCAAAGTCAAGGAACAGACTGGAAGAATTAGCACACAACAAAGAATCCTATCATGAAAAGGTATTATGGAGACAGGGAAATTCAAAACACAAACCCTGAAAAGAATGACTCAAAGCAAAAATTCAGCTTGGGACACAATTCCAACAAAAATCACTGCAAAAGAATGAAACTTGAGTTTAAAAAAAAAGGAGGAGCTAAAAATTATTTTAAAAACCAAATGAGGGCAGTAGAGGGAAAAAATGCAAAAAAGAAATAAGAGCTATGGAAAAAAGATATGTAAAGAAAATCAACAGTTCAGCACAAGCAGCACAAAATTTTACCCAAGAAAATAATTCCCTAAAAATCATAATTGTCTGAATAGAAGCTAATGATTCCATGAGAAATAAAGAAATATTAAAATAAAGTCAAAAGACTAAATAAAAATAAAAGATAACGTGAAGTATCTAATAGGAAAAACTACTGATCTGGAACACAAATTAAGGAGAGATAATTTGAGAATCACTGGACTTCCTGAAAGCTGTGACCAAAAATGTAGCCTAGACACCCTATTTCAAGAAATTATTAAAAGAAAATTGCACAGATTTCTCAGAGATGGGCAAAGTAGAAATTACAAGAAACTGGAGTCACCTCCTGAAAGAAACCCCAAAATGAAAATTCCCAACAATATCATAGCCAAAATTCAACTCACAGTCAAGAAAAAAAAAATATTGGCAACACCCAGAAAGAAAGAATTAAAAGTAGCAGGGTGCCATAGTCAGGATCACACAAGATTTAAATTTAATATCATAAAGAAGTGAAGAACTTGGAATATATATTCCAACGAAACCTAAGATTTAGTTTTACAAGTAAAAATAATTCTATAAAAGAAAAAAAATGCTCTTCGATAAAATTGAGGAGTTCCAAGCATTCCTGAAAAGACAAGAGGCTAGTAAAAAATCTGACATAAAATAACACAGGAATCAAGAGAAACATAAAAAGGTAAAGATGAGGAAGCAATCATAAGGGACTAAACAAGGATAAACTGTTCATAGTTTTATATGGGCATATAGTCATCTAAGGGGATACATGTATCTTCTTAGAACTTTACCTTCATTAGGGTTCATAAAAGAAAGACTCCTTTTTATTAAACAGAATTATTCTATTATGTCTTGGTGGTTGTGAAACAAGAATGGAAAGGGAGGGGATATGGAACTGCAGGCCAGGGAGGTGGGGAGGAGAAGGAAAAGAAGAAAGGAGAAAATTATCTCACTTAAATGGAGTATGAAAGGAGAAGTTTATACACATAGGAGAGAAGAATAGGAAGGGACAGTGGGAAATACTCACATCTGAACAGGTAAAAGGATAGAAGAATATACATACACAGAGATTTGGTACAGAAATACATTTTACCCAACAGGGAAAAAGGAAGGAAAGAGGTTAAGGAAAGGGGAGGGGGAAAAGAGTAGGGAGAGTACATTAAGGGAAGGATTAGTCAGAAGCAAAACAAACTCTTAAAGAGGAAAAAAGAAAAGAGAAGGAAAATATAAGAAAATAGGGTGAAGGGAAACATAGAACAGTCTTATCTGCGAATGTGAATAGGATGAAGTCATTCATAAAATGGAAGAGGATATCAAAATGGATTGGAAACCAGAATCCAACAATATAACATTTGTTAAGAAACACACTGTATACACAGACACACAGTGTTAAATAAGGGGCTGGAGCAGAATCTATTGTGCTTCAGCTGAAATTAAAAAAAAAAAAAGAGCTATCAAACACAAAAACAGACAATCAATAAAGAGAGAAGCTGCATTTTGCTGAAAAGTACGATCAACAATAAATTAATATACCAAACATATATGCACCAAATGACCCAATATCTGGATTCACAGAGGAAAAGTTAAATGAATTATATATGACAATAAAACTATAAAAGTGGGGAATATCAATTAACCCCTTTTAGACTTAAATGAATCTATCCAAAAATTTTTTTTAAAGAAATAAAGAACCTGAATAGAATTTTACAAAAGTTAGATATCATAGACTTCTGGAGAATACTGAATGAGAATAAAAAGGATTATGCTTATTTATGAGCTATGAATGGCACTTTCACAAAAACTAACCATGTTAGTGTACAAAAACTTCACAAGCAAATGCAGAAATATTAAAAGCATATTTTACTGACCATAATACAATAAAAATTATATTTAATAAAGGGGATTTGATGCAAAGATTAAACTTAATTGGAAACTAAGTAACTATATTAAATAAGTGAGTAAAAGAACAAATCATAGAATCAATTATTTTATTAAAGATTATAACACAGAATGAGACAACATAGCAAAATTTTGGGAATACTGCCAAAGCAGGACTTGGGAAAAATTTTTATCTATAAACACATTCACCAATAAAACAGAGAAAGCAGATCAACAAGCTAGGCATGCAACTAAAAAAACCTAAAAAAAAAGCAACAAATTAAAAATCCCCAATTAAATATCAAAATAGAAATCCTGAAAGTTAAACGAGAGTTTAACAAAACTGAAAACAAACAAACAAAACAAGCAACTTTAAAAAAAAAATAGACAAGCCAGTATCTGACTAATAGCCATTCCCTAACTGATAAGTCATCAAAAAGGATATGAACAGTTCTCAAAAAAAAAAAGAACTGCAAACTATCAACCACATAAAAGAATATTCCATATCCCTACTATTAAGAGAAATGAAAATCAGAACAATCCTGAAGTTTTTCCTTATAACTTGTAAACTGGCAAAAATGACCAAAAATAACAATAACTTTAGAGAAATTGTGGGATGATATGCATACTAATACATTGCTTGTGGAACTGTTTTGGAATTGGTACAACCATTTTGGAAAACAATTCAGAATTAATCAAATAAAGTGACTAAAATGTCCTCATCCTTTGACCCAGAGACTCTGTTACTGGGCTTATACCCCAAGAAAGCCAATGATAAAAAGAAAGCCCCCATGTATGCCAAAATATTTATAGCAGCAATTTTTATACTAATAAAGAAATGGAAGCAAAGTAAATGCCCATCAATTGAAGAATGGCTAAACAAATTGCAGTACATGAATGTATCGGAATATTACTGAGCTGTAAGAAATGATGAATGTAATGAATAAAGAAAAGCATAGAAAGAACTGCATGAACACACAGAATGAAGTAAGCAGAGCCAAGAAAATTATACACAATTACTACAAAAATGTAAATGGAAAAACACACATCCACACAAGTTAACGTAGCAAAATTATGAAGGTCAAGTATGACTCAAATGAAGAGATATCACCTTCCTGGAGGTGAGAGGTCCACAGGTGTTGGACATTGAACATGCTTTTGAACTTTTTCAATGTATTGATCAGTTGTGCTGACTTTTTACCTCTTTTTTTTTCTTCTTATCTGTCTTTTAAAAATACTATTTGTTACAGGGGATATATTTGTTATATGAGAGACCTCTGGGAGGAGGAAGGAAATGTGGAGGGATAAGGAGGAAAACTATGATGATGTAAAAAATAAGACATAATAAAGACCTGTTTTTAAAAAGATATACCTTGGGGCAGCTAGGTGGTGCAGTGGATAGAGCACCAGCCTTGGAGGCATAAGGACCTGAGTTCAAATCCAGCCTCAGAGACATAACACTCACTAGCTGCTGCATGACTTGGCAAATCACTTAACCCCAACTGCCTCACCAAAAAAAAAAAAAAAAAAAAGACATAGCTCAATACACTTTTAGTTTAGAAACTACTTTCCAAAACAAATATAGGCACTATGCATTTTACAATCAATAACTTGTAAATCTGGAAAAAAAAATCTCAAAACCAAATTTAAGTGAAATTAAGACAACTAAGAAAAGTAACAAATGAATTAATTTTTACTTCTACTTACAAGAGAACATTAGCTATAATGGCATTCACGTCAAACAAAGCATCAGTGGGGAATTCTCTGAGTAATATGTTACCTCTGTCAAAAAAAAAAATTCTCAAAATTCATGTAGTACTTGGAATTCCTTATTACTTTTGTCTAAACTTAGTTATTAATGATCACTTCATACAAATTATCATTTAAAAATAATTCATAAAGGATTTATTACATCTATCCCAAAACTACACTCAATATTATTTCAAAGTAATCAAGTGTCATTTGTCTTGTTTTATCTAAACTTCCTATCTCCCCCTTGCAATGTTTTATAAACAACACGAGGCAGTATTCACTGGATTAGAATGTTTCATTAGCAATATGAAATGCTCAATTTTATGAATATGATATACTATATCCTAAAGAATATGATGTTATGTTTGAGTCACTAAAATAGTTTGCAACACACTCATTTTTTAACTTTTGTGAGTAAAATGATTCCCAGTGTTTTATCAATATACAGTAGAACCTTAAATAAATCTACTTAATAAGGTCATAGATTTACAACTAGAAGCGACCTTGGAAGCCAACTAGTAAGAGACTTAATATAGAAAATTATGTTAGAATGTTTATTCTCAGAAGAAAATTGGTATCAACATATAATATGAAATATTCACATATTGTTAATGAAATAGGTTCAACTGAAAAAAAATTTAATGTCTGCTCTCTACAAAACAATATGCTAAAGAATATATAATATTTGGATAAAATATGATGCATGGCAATTTTTTTAAAAGTCACACACTGCACACCCATTAACTGAACCAAAAATTACTGTTCTTTGAAGACCAGTTCCTAAAAAGGAAATGTTATACTTCAGATGTTAAAAAGTCATGTCATAGTCTCTTTTCAATCTCTTCATTTCCCACTCAGTTGCACATGACTTCATCATGCCTCCACACCAAGTACCTTCCCTTTCTCCTCCTATCTGTCCTTGCTTTTCATTTTCCTTCTGTGTGTTGTCTTCTCTCAGTAGACTGTAAGCTCTTTGAGGGCAGGAATTGTCTTTCTTTTTCATATTTGTATCTCCAACACTTAGCATAGTACTTAGAACATAGTAGGCACTTTAAAATGTTTATTGGATTACTGTCTAACATTTATGAACAATATTATTCTTTTTGTCTAAAAAATTGCAATGCATAATAAAATTATGCATTTTAATCTCAAAACTTAAAATTTACATTTATCTTTCTCTTCCTTTCCCCCTACTTTTCACTATTAGTCATATACAAAAGATGTTACCGGAATAAATATGCTTTTGTCAAATCATTTTCCTTTCCACAGTATTTTGATGCTTCTTCTTTAGCACAATTAACCTGAAAAAAGTTTGAAATATTTAAGTTTTGTGACATACAAAAATACATATAAGTATATTAAAAACAATTATCCATATTGTAGTTTATCTCCAAATTAATCTTATCTTAGGGAGGCACAATAATGAGTAGGAAGAGTGTCGGATATACAGAGATACCTGGGTTCAAATTCTGTCTTTGACAATTAATAGTTATGGGGACATGAGTTAGTCACCTAATCTTTCTGCACCCTCAATTCTGGAGAATAAAATTAAGGGGTGAGAGAGGATTATACTGGGAGGAGAAAGGGAAAGGTAGAATTGGGTAAACTATCTCACATAAAACAGACAAGAAAAGGCTTTTACATTGGAGGGGAAACGGGAGAACATGAGAGGGAATGAGTGAATCTTATTCTCATCGGATTTGGCTTAAGGAGAGAATAACTTACACACTCAATTGGATATGGAAATCTATCTTACCTTACAGGAAAATAGGGGAGAAAGAGACAAGAGAGCAGGAGCATGATAGAGGGGAAGGCAGATTGGGGGAGGGGGTAATCAGAAGCAAATACTTCTGAGGAGGGACAGGGTTAAAAGAGAGAACAGAATAAATGGGGGTGGGATAGGATTAAGGGAAATATACTTAGTTTTTCACAACATGACTACTATGGAAGTGTTCTGCATGACTACACAAGTATAACCTGTATCGAGTTGCTTGCCTTCTCAATGAGGGTGGGTGGGGAGGGAAGAAGGAAGAAAATTTGGAACCCATAGTTTTAAAAGCAAATGTTAAAAAAAATTATTTTCACATGCAACTGGGAAATAAGATATACAAACAATGGGGTATAGAAATCTACCCTGCCCTATAGGAAAATAGAAGAGGAAGGGGATAAGAGAAGGGGAGGGGATAGAAGGGAGGGCAGATTAGGGGAAAAGGTATTCAGAATACATGCTGTCTTGGGGTGGGGGTGGGGGACAAGATGGGGAAAAAATTTGGAACTCAAAATCTTATGGAAGTGAATGTTGAAAACTAAAAATAAATAAATTAATGAATCTTTAAAAAAAAAAAGAAAGAAATCAACCTCTCTCCTAACCCCTACCTGTTTTGATTAACTTTCTTCTATAGGGCACAATTTAAATGTACATTACTTCTCTTCCATTCCCTATCCCTTCAGTCTTCCAGAGATCTTGTCTCCATATTTCATTTTCAAGATATTCTGTCTTCAAATTCCCAACTTTGGGGTTTTTTTCAGCGACATGTAACAGTGTAAGCATCAATGGCTCTGTAATCATAAGAGCTGGGTTCAATTATCAGCTCTGTCATTTGCTATTTGTGACCTTGGGAAGTCAATCAACCTCTTGAGGACTTGGATTACCTATGTTTAAAATGAGGAGGTTAAACTAAATGGCCTCTAGAGGGCCTTCCAGCCCTAGATCTATGATGCTAAGAATACAATCTAGGCAAAAATTAAATGTCGCACTAGACTTTTCAACTCTTTATGTCATGTCAGCAGTGCCAAAGATTCCTAATCTGCAAATAATTCTAGATTACTTTACTGAGGTTTCAATTGGTCAACAGCATATCAAAACTCCTATCCAGTTCTGAAATTCTCACTAGAAAAGAACTAAATTTTCTGGTCCATTTTCTTACAGTATATTAATATGCTTAGCTTTTCAAGATAGGTACTGTTGAGCTACAAAGAACATGAGAGGCAATGAGTGAATCTTATTCTCATCAGATTTGGCTTTTGATTTTCAACACATTGCAGCCAGGTCTCTTCTTTTATTTTTGTCTTTATTGAATAATGTATTACAATTAGAATTAGTGCTTCTTCAATCAATAATCATTTATTATGCTTTTATCATGTGCAAGTCAAGCACTAAGGAAACAAAGACAAAAAATGAAACAACCCCTTTTCTCAAAGAATTTACATTCTTCAGTGGAGAAGTGTTTCTTGATATGTAAACCAATTCTTCAATGCTTGCAAGAATTTATTTTTGATATCAAAGGTCTGGAACTTCACAAATACTCTTAATGAGTTAAAGTTAAGAGTTTCTCTTTATAGGTATCCCATGGATTCTACTGATTTGAGTTCTGCTCTCTGTGTCCAAAATCCCTAATTTCCTAGAATATAGTACTCAAGCTCTGTTTCCTTTTATTTTCCTAACAAATCAGTAATTCTCAGTTTGTCTCTCTGAGTTGTATCCTTTAGCTTTGTTGCTTTGGCTTGTAGAAAGAGGGAAACTTTTTTAAAGGGTAGATTCAAGAAGGGATTAATCATAAGTAAAACAAATCCTAAGCTCAAAAGCAGGAATTATGAATACAGGTGGTTTAAAAGGAAAAAAAGGGTATGAACCCCTGATAAAAAGGAGACAAAGAGCAATAAAGAGAAAATATTACAGTAGAATAAGATAAAAGAAAATTTAGAATTAAATATCATAATTATGAAAGTAAATGGAATGAACTCATCCATAAAATGGAAGAGATAAGCAGAATGGCTTAGAGAGTAAAATCCAACAATGTTTGTTTACAAGAAACATGCTTGAAATATAAAGACTCATAAAGAATTAAAATAAGGGATTGGAGCTATTATACCTCAGCTTAAACAAAAAAAAATCAAGGGTAATAATCATGATCTTAGACAACACAATAGCATAAGTAGACATGATTAAAAGAGATAAATAGGGAAACCACATTTTGTTGAATGATACCATAGCCTATTACTTAATTTCTATACATAATCTACATACACCAAATCTAAATATTTTTAAAAAAAAGCTAAATAAGCTATCGAAAGAAATGGAGATTAAAACTATGCTAGTGAAGGACGTTAATATATGTATCCTTTTCAAAGCTAGAAAAATCTAATTAAATAAATAGGCCTATGACCAACAACAACCCAGAAAAAAACTGAGTATAATCATACAGGGGAAAAAAGTAAATTTCAATGAAAAAGAGGATTTCTAAGCATTCCTGATGAAAAGACCAGAGTTGAGTAGGAACTTTGAAATATAAAAATGGGAGTCAAGAAAATATAAAAAGGTAAATACAAAGTGTGCAATTAGAAGGGACTTTATAAAGACGAACTATTTACCTCCTGGAGGAAAAGGAATAATAAAAGTGTGCCTTCAGAATGTTACTATCATCAGGGGTCATAGAGGGAGTCAAATAAGACAGAAGGTCTTAATGCAGTTTTGTTATGTTTTACTGACATTAAAAGAAGAAAAGAAAAGGAAGGCAAAAGGAGGTAGGAATTTATCTCATAATCAGAGTGCACAAGTAGAAGTCTATACAAAGAAGGAAGGGTTGGGGGGAGAAAGTGTCACTCAAACCTCACTTTCATCTGAACAGGTCAAAAGATGACAAAACATACAAACATATACATAAAGAGTCTGAATGTATTTCTACACCAACTCACCAGAGAAACAGTAGGGAACCAGGAGAGGAGAAAGAGAAGTATAAAAGAGAAAGTAGATTCAGGGAGGGATTAATTATAAATAAAACCCTAAGCTTGGAAGTTTAAAAGGGAAAAAAAAAGCTTATTAAATACAATTACTAAACTATGTATACATGTATACTAAACTGTGCATACATTTTACATATAAGGAAACTGAGTGATTTGCCCAATGCCTTTCCATGACACCTGAATGCCTTTCCCACATTTACAATTGTTCTCCCTTCCTAATTATAACAACATGCACTTGAGGTTACCTTAAACTCAGAAATTATCTACAAAGTGCTTTTTGTTTGCAAGTAAAACACCTTGGAAAAGTGTGCTAATAGACATAAAGAAGAAACTAGAATTATAGGTTCTGGTGACAGGCCAAGGACTGAGGTAGAGGTAGGGTAAGTGACAAAAAAATTAAGGATCAAGTGCAAGACTAGCCAAATTAGAGGAGCCTGTATCAGGCACCAAGAAGGTCAGGAGCTCCATAACGCAAACTTGGGTTGAAAGACTGGCAGAGTTTAGATTACAGTAATAAAGAATTTCTAGGCTAAAGAGCTAGAGTTCATTTGGTTCATTTATATGAAGGCACTGATTCCTCAGAAAGCAAAATACCAGGCTCATGAGTGCCATTTCTTAAAATGCTGCTATGAGGATTCTCATTACAATGCCTCAGAAAGGCAAGGATCATAAAACTTGGAGCTGGAAGGAACCTTGAGATCTAGTCATAGGATCATAGATTTAGAACTGGAAGTGACCTTAGAAGGCATCCAGTCCAACTCCCTCATTTTATAGATGATGAGTCCCAGAGAGGTTAAGTAATGAATGGAGTCAGCATTTGAATTTTTGGTCTTTGAATTCAATATCAGAACACTTTTCACTATTCTAACTTGGCTCCTCTAAGGACACGATTCTGCTCAAACCCAGTGACCTAAAGATATAGAGAAACACATCATCTTGTAGATTTAGAATAACCTTCTCTCAGAAATTAGGTTGATTGAGAAATAAACAAGTATAAATATACCTTTCAGGACAGATGAAGTACTTTAAGGACATCTCATTAATCTGAGGCAATTTAATAATACAGGATAATTTCTGCAATCAATTTTTTAAAATACCAAAACATTCTTCATAAAGACCAACAAATACTCTATATTTAAGCTTCTCAAGCAAAAATAATTGTCCAGTTATCCAGTTCCAAAATGTACAAGAGAACTACTCCAAATATGCTTTTGAATGCTAAGGTATGTGGTAGATGAAAAAAAAAATAAAATGGACACAAAGACAATGAATAACAGTCCCTGCCCTCAAGGAGTTTAAATTCTATTTAGATCTAAGATAGTCATTTTTCAATGTTTCAATATACATATACATATGTATGTATGTGTATGTTGTATGTATGTGCACATACATATGTATAAGAGGTACTATGAGATAACAGAGTTGGTCTTGATGCCAAGAAGACCTGGGTTCAAGTCCCACCTCTTACATACAAAAACAAGTCATTTAACCTCTCAGTGTTCTTGGCAACTTTCTAAAACTTTAAGTTTCAGAGAAGGTGCTGACTTGCCCTGGTAAAAAATGTTCCCTCACCAACAAGTTCCCTATACCAATGGAATCACAAGTCCAGAACCAGTATCTGTTTATCTACATTATATATAGAAATATATACATACACTACATATGTGTGTATATGTATACATACACACATACATATACACACACACAAAAACACACATATACATGTACAACTTCCCAAAAGTCTCAGGGAAGTTTTAACTATTATAGCTAATTATAGCTATAATAAAATGCACTGAGAGTTTCGGGACACTGTGAATTTGTAAATACACACACACACACAGAGAAAAACTCCTTAAGTTAATCACGTATCACAGTCTGGAAAATACATATTATTTATCCACTTCATGTTTATCTTTTCATAATTATGTATCTTTTTTAGGACATGCTGTGGAACATTTCCTATTACTGTGCATCCTCTTTCTATAATATTCTTTTAGCTATAAAAATTTCCAAGAAGAGATCTATACTCAATTTTTCATATGTTACATTTGAGTGGAAATAACAAAGTGACAAAAAGAATTTCTGCTCTGGAGTCAGAAGAGCTGGGTTCAAATCTCATCTCTACTACTTATTACCTATATGACCTTGGGCCTCAGTTTACTCTTCTATAAAACTGAGAGAGTAAAACTAGATGGCCTCTGAAATCTCTTCCAGCTCTCGATCTATAATCCTCTAACCCTACATACTTTCAAATCTGTTACTTTAATCTCTCGTTTAACAGAAGAAGTAAGAAACTTTTGAAAGATGGAGCAGTAAAATATTCTAGCAATCTCAATCACATTCTTGTTTTCCATAGCTGTTACTTGATAAATACTTGTTCAAAAAATTACTCACATTACCTTACTTATAGATGTCCATTATGATATGTGTTAACTAAAACTGATATAATATAAAACCAAAACCAATTAAATATGGAAAACAATCAGAGAAACAATACAGTTTAGGTAAAATACAGCCTACATATGGGAACTTTGATGAACAGATTTGTCTTTGCTTCTGTTTTCTGAAATATGAAGGAAAACATATTTCTGTACACTTGAGAGTATTGTGAAATACAGTAACAATAGGGGCAGCTAGGTGGCGCAGTGGATAGAGCACCGGCTCTGAAATCAGGAGGACCTGAGTTCAAATTCGGCCTCAGACCAAACACTTGACACTTACTAGCTGTGTGACCCTGGGCAAGTCACTTAACCCCAATTGCCTAAAAAAAAAACAAAACAAAGCAAAACAGTAACAATATCGAAATACTTTTAGATTCTCAGCTGTAAGACAGCAAAAAAGTATAAAATATCAGTGATCACACAATAAAAATGTTATTTTACCTTTGCAACTGAAATCCCATAACTACAAAGAGGTCCAGCTGCTTTTTTCAATTCTTCAAGAAATACAGTAATATCTAGAGAAACTCAAATAAGGACATAAAAATATTTTCTATTATTTGTCTCTTAAAAGTGAATTTTTAAAATCCAAGAGAAATTATTCAAACACAGAGCCTTACAACTAAGTACAAAAATTAATCCTGTTGACCCTACAAAGAATACACAAAGTACTTTGAAATTTTTAACATACTATATGTATAGTAAGTTTCAGCTATTATTGCTCTTTTCAAAGATCTTTGGCTCAGTTCTGTAAAACTCAATACACCAACAACCAAGCTTTACCTAGATCGTCTTTTGTAGGTTGTTGTGGATAAAAAAAGTTTACCATCCTGTGGCCAATCTTCTGGTGATTACCCTATTTCAAACTTACTTAGGCTGATCCTTGAAGGACAAATATAAAGTTTATGACGGGGCTTGTACTCAAGTAGTTCCGGTTTGGTAAAACATATTCCAAAGCACTGGAACAACCAATGAAGAAGATAAAAAATAAAAATTTGAAGAACAACAATTATTCTGATTTATATCACTCTTTAACCCTAGGTAGTTAAAAATATTATCCCCATTTTATAGAAGACGAAACTGAGGCTAGGCAGGTTAAATAAAAAAACCCAAAGATTACTCATATGGCTTAGTAGGTATCTGAGGCAGGATTCAGACCTAGATCTCCTGACTCCAACCATTCTAGCCAATGTCTTGCTGCCTCTCATTATTCAAGTTAGAGATTCCTCACAGCCACAATGGGAGTTCAGAGTCAAACTCTGGTGAAAAAGGAACACATAGTCAAAAATAAAAGTCAACTTATCACTTGACAGAAGTCATCAGCCCTCTAAAAAACTGGTACACCAGACTATTCACATATATTACTTTTAAAATTAATTTTTACCAATTTTTTATTGCTTTGCAATTACAGACAGGTGTCAATTTAAACTCTAAACAGAAATAAAAATTGAAAAAAAAGAAATAAAAATTGACTTCATCAGTAATATAAAAGAACAGTATTCTTTGATATGATGAAATAATACTATTAATTCTGTTTGACAGAAAGAAAAGTATAATTAATAGTGTTGCCAAAGTACACTATGTGCAAAAATATTAATGAGAAACTCAATTCTAAAAGTTGGTAACAGGAAAGGAATCTTTTTCCAACATTAGCACACTAAAAACATATGAAAATAAATCATCATGTAGCTTTTCAGAAACCATAATATAAAATTTCAAAATTTTTTCATTGCATTACAATTGCATTTATAATGTTTTGTATTAATTCTTGTAGTAATAAGGCTTGAACAACAGTTTGTTTAAACAGCAAAATAAGCATCATGAAAACATATATTGTATTTTTAAAAAAATACTAACCATCTTGACTAAAATAAACTAGGGAGGTTTTTCCTGTCTGCAAAATGCTGAAATATTCCTGAAGACTCAGTTCCATTAGAGTGTCTCTATTTCTTGCAGTACACTTATAAAACATACATATGAGCACAAAAAAGATGCTGTACATCCATACGCTTAATCTGGAAGACATCATCAACTAGAGATGTAAATACAGCAGCATCTGAAAGAAAAAAAATATGGGATTACTTTTGCATCCTTTGAGCTTGTTTTGGCAGCATAATAATTTCAGTAACTTCTTTTTGTTGTGGTTCTTCCAGTTATGAATATGGCCTAATACAACATTTCTTTGTTAATACTACTGATTTCTGGAGCTTATAACAGATCTCAATTACACGTATCAGGAAAATATTTTTTTGATATAATCACTACAATTTGTTAAAAGTAGTATTAAAGGAATAACTTCAATAAGGACCTTTGGCATTACATGATCAATTTTTTTAAATTAACATTATACTGGAAATTTCAAATCTAATTCTAGGCAGTTAAAAAGCTAAATATTCAAAGAATCATTTAATGCACTTTGCATAGAAAAGTACATAGAAAGCCAATGTGATCATAGCTGAATTTCCAAAAGTGTTATGTAAAAATAATGTTAGGCTAGACTTTAAAATTTGTTTACCATTCTGCATTAATTTAAGACATTTTTGTATGCTGAACACACTGAATGCTTTTTTCTATATCCACCTCATTCTATGTTCTCAATCAACACTTATTTGCTGAGGCTTCCGAACTTTACATACTTATTTTTTTCCTGTGTCTTATATATGCAACGGTCATCCTCCTTCTTTAAAGTCCTAATCTTAAAATTTATCCTAAACAAGTCTTTCTTTCATTAAGTTTTTTCCAAAGACAGCCTGCACTTTATAAAGAAAAAGATTTCAGAAAATTCATACAAATATCAAATATCATTGTAATTAAAAGGATTAAATATCTTCTCAGCAGGTCAGATATTAGGTATTAATTTTTTACTACACATGGAATATCTTTAAGAAATAACTGTACTCTAAACATGAGAGTATGAAACAAATACAGAAAAATCCATTTTAAACTTTTCTGGAAAATGGAGTGAATGCTACTTAAATTAATTTATAGAATTAATCAAAATATTCACATGCTATTTAATAAAACTGGAGAAAATATGAAGAACACAGGACCAAGGATACATGAAATCTAGATCCAGGAAAATGATAGATCAAGAGTTGGAAGGGACCTCAGAGACCAGAAAATCTAACTCCCTCATTTTACGTAAGGAAACTAAGGTTCATCAAAGACAAAGATCAAAAGAGAGTGACAGAGGCTTTTATACCACTTGAAAGAAATATAGTGCATTAAAAAAAAAGTATGCTGGAAAACAAAAGGACACAAACTAGGTACAGACCAACATCTCACATCATATACCAAGATAAGGTTGAAATGGATGCATGATTTAGACATTAAGGGTAACATCATAAGCAAATTACAAGAGCAAGCAATAGCCTACCCATCAGATCTATGGGAAAGAGAAGAATTCATAACCAACCAAGAGATAGAGAGCATTACAAAATGTAAAATAGATAGTTTTCATTATATTAAATTAAAAAGCTTTTGCGCAAACAAAACCAATGCAACCAAGATTTGAAGGAAAGCAGAAAGATGGGAAACAATCTTTAGGGCAAGTGTCTCTGATAAAGGCCTGAAGTGATTCAAATTTATAAGAATACAAGCCATTCCCTAACTGATAAATGATCAAAGGATATGAACAGGCAGTTTTCAGATACAGAAATCAAAGCTATTGATAGGCATATGAAGAAGTGCTCTAAATCACTTTTGACAAAAGAAATGCAAATTATAACAACTCTGAGATACTACCTCACACCTATCAGACTGGCTAATATGATAAAAAAGGAAAATGATTAATATTGGAGAGGATGTGGGAAAATTGGGCCACTGGTGCACTGTTGGTGAAGTTGTGAACTGATCCAACCATTCTGGAGAATAATTTGGAACTATGCCCAAAGGGCAACCAAACTGTACATACCTTTTAATCCAGCAATACCACTACTAGATCTGTATCTCAAAGAGATCATAAAAAATGCGAAAGGAACTACATTTACAAAAATATTTATAGCAGCCTTTTTCTTGGTGGCAAAATATTGGAAATTGAGGGGATGCCCAAGAATCGGGGAATGACTGAACAAGCCATGGTATATGAATATAATGGAATACTTTGTGGCAATAATAAATGATGAATAGGCAGATTTCAGAAAATCCTGAAAAGAGTTGTATGAACCGATGCAAAGTGAAATGAGTAGAACTAGGAAAACATTGTATACAGCACCAAGAACACCATGTGATGATTAACTATGAATAACTCAGCTCTTCTCAGCAACACAATGATTCAAAACAAATACAAAAGACTCACAAAGGAAAATGCTATCCATATCCAGATAGAGAACTGATGGAATGCAGACTGAAACATTTTTTTCCACTTGCTTTACTCTTTCTCATGTTTTTTTTTTTAAATCTGTTTCTTCTTTCACAACTGCCACTAATATGGCAACACTTTTTACATGATAGCACAAGTATAAACTACATCAAACTGCCTACCACTTTCAGAAAAGAGGAGGACAGAAAGGGAGGGAGAAAAATTTTAACTCAAAATCTTGTAAAAATACTAAAATTTCCTTAAATTTTTTTGACATATAACTGGAGAAATAATAAAATATTATTTTTTTAAAAATTTAATGGATCCTGAAAAAAAAAAAGAACCTCAAGGTAAATAATGAAGAAAAAAAAAAACGAGAAGAAGCCTATGTAACAGATGTCAAATACAAAGTATTAAGATTCAAAACTATCTGATACTGGTTATCAAACAGAAAAGTTGATCAATGGAACACATTAGGTACAGAACATACAGAAGGAACAGAGTAACATAGTGTTTGATAAACCCTATTTATACAGCCCTAAACTCTTTTCTAACTTTTAGGTAATTGATGAACTTTTTGTATCTTGAACTGGATGTCCTGTAGACATCTCAATTCATGTCCAAAACAGAACACATTTTCATCCCCTTCCTCAAACCCTCCAATCTTTTCAACTGCCCTATTACCAAAGGCATCACCATATTCCCAGTCACCTAGAATTATAACCTGTGTCATCTTCAACTCTTCACTCAAATTCACCCCATATATCCACTACGTCACAAAGTCTTGTTTGCACCTTCACAATAATTCTTGTGTACACCCACTTCCCTCCACTCACACAGCCACCACTCTGGTGCAGGATCTCACCTTATCACTCTTGGATTATTTATTTCAGAAGGCTTCTCATTAGTCTCCCTGCCTCAAGTCTCCCCCTACTCCAGCTCTCTCTTCACACTCCACTCAGCTGCCAAAGGGATCTTCATAAAGTGCAAGTCTGACTATGTCACCCACTATCTCTTCACCCCACACCACCTCACCCCACCCCAACCCATCAAAAAACTCCAGTGGATCCCTATTACCTCCAGTATCAAACACAAAAATCCTTTACAACCTGGCTGTTTCCTACCTTTCCAATCTTTTTGTATTTCACTCCCTTCCACATAGTCTACAGTCTTACAACATTGTCCTTTGCTATTTCAGTCACTCTTCAGTCATGCCCAACTCTTCATGGCCCCATTTGGGGTTTTCTTAAAGATACTGGAGTGGTTTCCCATTTCCTTCTCCAGCTCATTTTACAACTGAAGCAAACAGGGTTAACTGACTTGTCATGGCTCACATAGCTAGTAAACGTCTAAGGCCAGATTTGAACTCAAAAAGAAAAGTCTTTCTGACTCCAGGCCCAACATTCTATCCGCAGCACCACTTAGCTGCCAATTTCTTACATAAAACACTCTATATCCTGTTTCCATGCCTTTTCTCTGGCTGTTCCCAGTGCCTTGATTGCTCTTCTTCCTCATCTCTGCCTGTAAGCTTCCTTTGCTTCCTTCAAGAATAGCTCAAACTGGGGCAACTAGGTGGCGCAGTGGAAAGAGCACTGGCCCTGAAGTCAGAAAGACCTGAGTTCAAATTCGGCCTCAGACCAAATACTTGACACTTATTAGCTGTGTGACCCTGGGCAAGTCACTTAACCTAAACTGCCTAAAAAAAAAAATAGCTCAAACCCCACTTTCTGTAGAAGGCTGCTGTTACTACTGTCTTCCCTTTGGGATAATCTTCCAATCACATTATACAAATCTTGTACGTACAGAGTTGTTTGCATGTTGTTTGCATGTTGTTTCTCTCATTATAATGTGAGCTCCTTCAGGGCAAAGACCACGTTTTTGCCTTTTTTTGGTCAACACTTCACATAGTGCCTCACACACAGTAAGCACTTAGTAAATATGTGTTGATTGACTCATAACAAATAACAAGTCAAGTAAAATGGATCCATACAGTGGCTATGTCTGAAAATACATCTCTTTCTGCACCTGGATCCAACACTTTTGTGTCAAGAGTAAGGTAATATGGCTTACCCTTGTCTTCTGGAGTTATTAACATCTATCCCTGCCTCATTCCCATATTTTTCTCCACTGAGTTTGATATATATCCACACCAAACTCCTTGTGTGTGCATGTGTCTGTATGTTTAGTACATGTATTTGATCCTCTTTTGTCAGGTTCCAATAAGATTCATGTTCATTTCCCTTACACCCCCTTACTCCATGTTTATATATATTTTCCTGTACACCCTAATTTTGAGAAATAGTAGGTGCCATTACCATTTCCTTTCTACATCTTTTTTACTCGTGCTTTTATTTTTCCTCTTAAAACCCACAAAATAGACCCAATCCAACCCCAAGCATCTGTTTGCCTTAATTAAGTCCTTTAATGCCTTTTAAGACATTACAGTTTCCAGGGAACACTAATTTCTTCTCTCCCTATTATAGTGCTAGCACTTAATCATCATATAGCACCTTCTAGTTATTCAATTTACCTTTCCAGGTTTTATTCTCTTGTGTTTGCATTTCAAAGTTTTTACTCAGTTCTGGTCTTTTCATCAAGAAGGCTTGAAATTATTTTGTTCCATTATAATTTCTTCCAAAGGAACATACTTTTTCTGGGTTAGCTATTCTTGGGCATTAGTAGTCTCTACCATGTGCTTTTTGGAATATTATATTCCAAGCTCTCTTTTTCACGAAAATTGTTGTTGTCAAGTCTTA